CCTACATGATCTTGATGTTGTGATGTTACAGGTGTTTTAACTGCCCTGTACTACTGTCAGTGACAGGGCACCATCTAGAAAAAGTACCAGAGGTAAACCATCAGTTTTTACTGTTCCACCGTTACTCCAGACTCCAGAATGAATTTCACTTTGCCATTTCTTTAGAGATCACATACTAACAGTGTGTTCAAGCTCAACTCAAGATGAAACTCAGAGGGTGTGCGATTACATTCAAAGTGACGAGAAAAATCCAAATACACACAAGTTGCCTCTAAAGGGACAAAGACAGATCTGCACCAAGTTTCAACCTGAGGGAAACTCTACATTAGCACAGTCAAACCTGAAGCTGTGGATTCCCTGCAGCTCCTGCTGCAGCACCTCCTTGGTGGTGGCGATGAGCTCCAGTGCTCCGACAAACTCTGAGGTGGAGAGCAGCAGCTGCACGGTGGGCTGCGTCTGATGCACCGCCGCCATCAGTTTCAGCTTGTTGTGCAGCTTCACGCAATTGTTGCGGGTGAGAGCAGTGCGGAGGGCCCGCAGAGGCCCCTGGCACATGACGCGATCCATGGCTGCGGTCCGGCCCCGCAGGGTCGCGACGGCCTGCTGTGTTTCCTGCAGCTGGTCCTGTAGCTCATGTTGCGAGGACATGGCGTGAAAAAAGGCCTCAGAGCGCAGAGAGATCTGCCGGGCAATGCTCACCTCCACCACGTCCAGGTAGTGACTCAGCTGGAAGGAAGCACAGACACAGAACAGGTGATTCATATCCACACACAACATGTTCCAGCAGAGACCGGTGTTCTACAAGCTGTAGAACGGCTCTTTACAACTGGACACGTCAGGGCATCAGTTACTGAGATTATGGCACCTTATGTAAACTAGATTCCAACATCACTGTATTCTAAAGAGAGTTTTAATTCCAGTGCCCCCTAAACAAATAAGGATATGCCCTCTGAGGTTAGAAGTACCGCTGTGATGCAACCGGCCGGATGATTTCTGAGAAATGACTGTGCATGTAAAAGGCCAACCGGTACCGAGAGGTTTGATTCCCCATGTGGACTGTCATACAGGAAATAACTGAAATTCGGATGTGTGATCGGTGTGTTGTGCAGGGTGGACATGTGGGGTTACCTTCTCCTGCAGCAGCTTGGAGGAGGCCATGTCTCTGCTACTCTTCCCTCCAGCGCTGTTGAAGTGAGACCAGGGCAGGACGGCGCTGAAGATGGCCGGGTCCTCCAGAGCAAAGTCCGGCTTCATGAAGATCTAAAAACAGGACAGGGTGTGACATGAGGTCACCACGGACACAGCTAACGTATAAAACCCTAGAATCCTGGGGAACAGCCAACTGCACCTACACAACTGTGTTAGTAGTGTGTACTAGACTAATCCTAATGCACATGCCGTTTACTCGTCTTTCTCACATCAAAGCAAATTGCTGAGTAGACATTTCACTGTCACTTCCACACTGATCCGATACAGCAGAGCAGATGTGTTACCTTTGGGACTTGTTCCAGCTCAGCTCTGGATTTGTCTGGGGGAAACAAGAACAGCTCTGATCAGTCAG